AAAGAAATAAAATAGCACCTCGTGTTTGCTGAACAGAAGTAGAAAGATATAATCAATCAATGCCGAGGTTAATAGAAAGTCGGACTTGGGAGTTACTACAACATGTACCAGTAAAATATAATAGTCAAGAAAAGTTCTACAAAAGGAGACCGCTTATCGATATCGATGAGTCTCTCACGGTCTTTAGAAAAGAACCGTATTAACCCAATGCATATCAAATAACGGGTACATTCATAGAAATAGCATGTTCAAATTGCGCACTGGACGCAGGTAATCAACAGATTTGTGACGCATGTCAGTAAGCATTTATACATTAATGGCTGCACAATTGAATCGCTGGCGATTAAGCCTCATGGACAGCTTACTGGACTAAACAAGGCGCGTGTATACCAACAATAGGTATAAAAGAATAGAGGACAGAGCTTTTGGCGTCAATCTATCCCTAAGAGATGTGCCAAGTATTCAACTTCATTAAGCACCGTTGGATGTAACTGAATGCGTATCTGGTGTCCCAGTAGCCTATCGATGTAGTGAACTAGTACCACTATCTTCCTAGAGAAGTCTGGTACCAATTTTCCGACCCTGCTATACACATGGGATCGCCCCAAGCTCGCCAAGCCTTCCGTCCCTCCGGGGTCGGCAAATTGGTACGAGACTTGTCTGGGAGGATAGCAGCACTGACGCGATATATCGGTAGGGCACCGCGAGTAATGTACAGGCCAGACATGCATTCAATCACCTCCAACGATGCTTGGTGAAGTAGTCGAATGCATGGCGCATCTCTCCGGGATTGATCAACACCGACAGTTTTATCTTTTTATTTTGTTATTATATGCACAGAATATCTTTTTGGAGACCAAGCGCAGTAGTGACATCTCTCTGCGACAAGGTAAACCCGGAAGAAATTAGTCATGTGTGATTCACACCTCTGAAAGAAGTCGATCACCAAAGCCTTGGAACAATGTGGAACCACCGCTCAAAATTATACTCCCGTACAGTGTCTTGCGAACATCCATGTCACATTTCTGAAAACAAGCATACGAATTGCATAAAACTATGTAGTCACTTCAGAAAAAGTAGGATATAAAAACTGTAAGGCTATTTAACGAAGCTTTAACAAACAATGTTATTCAAGCAAAAAGTAGTTAAATATAGAAAAAATCATTGTTTAAAAATAACAAGTGTAACTGCGTTTGTATTATAACTACAAAATGTAACTAAGCCCACCTTTTTGTTTCTATCATTAAGCTGGTGGAAAGCTAATCACGCTTCCTTGCATTACCGAAACCTCCAATTTTGATAGTGGAACTGGCCTTACGACAAACTTCATTTTTATGCTTTTTTTCTTTTTTATTTGCTGATTATTTCATACGGTATTCAGAATATGAAAATGTTAGAAAGAACGCAAATTTGGACGATTTGTATCCGAGTTAAAAAATGGATCGTAAAGCAGCTAAATCAACTCGTAACATCGAAATGTCGTTCTGGACTTGCTGAAAAGTGTACAATGTAGTAGTAGCTGACGGCGTTCTTCAAAGGCCAAAAGAGCTTTGAAGACTGGGAATGTATAAGTTGGCCATCGGTAGCCGACGAGGATGAATTTAAAGCATTCTCAAAATTACAAATAGCAAGTTGAAAAGATGAAAATTCTCGATAACTGAGTACCATGCGAAGCGTAATAAAATAGAAAAGCCGTCATTTTGAACTCTACTTTCCACTTTTTTAACAGTGAGAACGACCCACTCCTCGATTGCGTTGTGACGTGGCTTAGAAATTAAACTATGTGACCATTTTTAACCGTTTAGCCCAGTCGTTGGATAGGAGTGAAGGTTTTAATTCTCTAAGTTTAATCTAAGCCGAGGAAACTGTGGTCATTGCTTGGTGGTTTATGTAAGAAGTCACCTATCATAACTTCCTATATCTTGGCGAGATGAGCACAGCAGAGAAGTGATTTTGAAATTCATGTCCATGACGCATCAAGAATAACACTACATTTATCCATCACTGTTCATAAAAAACGATTCAATCCTTTTGCAAAGAAACGCCCGACAAATCGGGTTCCTTGGCGCGATTTTTACGCTTATGAGACGGGATGACCTCAGGCAGTCATAAGATCCGAAAAAATAGATATCTTTACTTTAAACCCACATATTCCAGCTGGTGTTGAACATCATAAATTTGAATGAAAAAGGACACTATTGGAATCTAGAGTTCTTTGCTTGTTATATGCAAGTTATCACATTCTACCAAGACGGAATTCTGACTTGACTTCCTGGAGTTCATGAAAAGTACTCATGTTTCTGTTTAAAGACCCGTATTTGAACACAGAAGTGAACTAATTGAACAAGCGGAATTTCGTCCATCAAGACACGATGCCGTTTTCTACAATGTACCGTCTATATTTGCAGCTGGCGCTTTCCCTCCGAAAATTTCATAAAGTTAATTTTCGTAGTCAACTTGTTACAAGTCGGTTATAAATAGATTTAAATTTGAACGGACACCATGCAAGAACTGTCTATGCGGCTAATGAGGCAGGATAAAATCTCTTCCATAAATCTACAGTTTTGAGCTCTTTAACTCTGAAAAACTCCAGTGATCGAAAAATTAGCGCCATTACCGAAAAACCGGCCTCGTAACGAAAGGATTAATCTTCAATACAGAGCTGCTAAAAGTTGGCGAAGAATGTTAACCAATATATTGGCGAAACGGAGAGAATTCTGTGTTTGCACAAAAGAGTATTCGGATGGCAAAGTTAGATATCGCGAAAACATTCCACCAGAACCAAAAAATATGGAGGAATGAAGAAGAAAACGTGAAATCAAAAGGTAAGAATTTGATCCCGGTGCTATAAATGGAAAACTTCAACTTGTAAAACACCTCTATATGAAAGAAACTGCACTCTAAACAAGGCATCACTCGACATTCCATGTAAATTAAGAGTGGGAGGTTGCTCAAGCAGTACTACCAGAACTAATCAACAGTTGAGTTTTAGACATAAAACATTTTTGTTGGATTGTATGACATTCCATCCATTAATTTTTCTGTTAATACGAAAACTCCGAAGAAATCGTCTGTCAAAATGTGAGTTATCAAGCCATGAAGCTTGCACTAATCACACCGAGTCAGCTCATGAAAGATACATTCGTTATCTTCAGGAATCACCAGCATCCATCGCATCCATCAATCAATATTTTTGTAGGAGCAAATCAATATAATATTTACTGAAGAATTCATAACGTTAACAAAACTTGTGCATGCTAATATTCTACTTATGAACTGATCCCTGATTGACTCAAGATTGATATACCACTTACAAACATATCCCTATTTGGGGTAAACATCAGGGTCAGTAAATGAATTAAGTAAATGAACAGCTGTTCATTAACATGTGATTAAAAAAGTACAAAAAAAAGCCTCTAACTCACTAAATGTTTCGAAACAGCGTAATATATAAGAGAGCTCACTCTAATCGCATCATTGACAAGATGTGCTATTCCCGGCCATTCTTCACCTATCAGCTCAGGTCGGAACAATACTTCAGGTGCGCGGAATCGACTAGCGCCAATTTCGAGTCGGGAACCATCGGGCAGGGGATACATATACTATAAGAAAGGCTTTAACATAATTTCATGAGCAGTAAAGGAATAAATAAACTAGAATAACACCTTAAACACATTCGCGGTGAGGCACACTTAGTGACAGAATGCAAAATGCTCACTGATTTTAACTGATTCACTGATATAGCATTTTCTCCTCTGTAGTTTATTTTTTTTTGCTATACATTGTTTTCATACCATAGCTTGTCGAATGATGGGAAGAGCGTAGTGCTTTTAAAGCTATATTGTACTTGGACACTTGAATAACCGTCTTCATAGACTGTGCGGACACCAGCATAATTTCCATTTTTTCATAGTTTTGCTGGTTTAGCCATTGCGGTTTCCGGGAGTCCTAAGGTCAGTCTAGCCAAAGTCTGCACCAGATCGTCACCACCATAGGCGGTCGCCGCCCTTGCTGATCAGAGGGAGATTTACCACCATGCGACTACTTTGATAACAGGATGGTGACAGATACTGGTATCGGTTTACTTTTAGCTGAACTTCTTTATGAAAACGCTGGCCCCCTTCTCAGCTTGGGGGACCTTGCTGAAGGGATCAATCTCCTTGCTGTATATCGCAGCCCGACACCTAGGAACGCCTCCCAGCCACGATGAGGCGATACACCGTTAGTAGGAAAGCTATATTATACACCTTAAAATCTACAACAAACTTTCTGTATGACTTCGCTCTTCAAGACACAGACTATTGATGATGAAGAAGAGACCAGGTCTTTGCTCACAAGACCACAGTTGAAAAGAGAACAACGATGACTTCTCCAGTAAGAGTACCACAGATGTGGATAGCACCTAGATATATCTGCCGTAAAGGTACAAATACATGAGCCCTGTAGTGGTCTTTGTAGTAAACGAGTGGCATAAAAGATATGGCTAATATACAGTTTTGGCTAAGAGATACTGAATTCGATGCAACCTGCAGTCAACGGAAAACCAAGCCTTCTGTGACTCAGGCAGCAAAAACTAAGAATTGCCTTGAAGCTAGTGAATGAAGAACTTTACGTGAGAACATAACAGAGATGGGATACCCAATTTAACGGTCTAATTGGCGAAAATGTTCGTACATCTATCGCCTTTGAGTACAGGAAATTACACAAGAACTAACCTTATCATTCTCATTTGCTTCTTCCTTCACTACATTTGTAGCTAAATAACACGCTTTCTCCTTGATCTCACGGACGATTTCAAACTCGCTTGTTCTGTGTAGATCTGTGCCCTCTTTACGTAAAAGGAGACGCAACCACCGTGTAACATCTCGACCTGCCACATCCATGCGACCAATTCTGTATAAAGATACCACACATTCTAAGAAAACAAACAGAAAACAAATGTTAGATCCTAATCTGATAAACCGTTTATTCTCACAATACAGTGAAAAAATACAAGTTCACCAACAAAACATTCAATTCAGCATACCCTAGGAACATTTACTCAAAATATATCTAATGCATGTTTCTCAGAACAAGCAGTTAGGTGGTTTTTCAGTACGTACTCATAGTACTGGTTGCCACAATACAAGACGACTGAACGGAACTCACGCATGATCAACTGCAAAGCCTTCATATATGGGTACCACATGGGTAACACCGTCTCCGGAATCCAGAACCACCCCAGTTGTTCGACCTGGAGGTAAGAATTAATATGTCTGGGACGAACTTACAAAATCTTGCTGTTACTAAAGGACCACAGAAACTTGATAACTAACCAGAAGAATATAATGAAAGAACAGCCTGCATTTGAATATGAAGAGCAGGAACATTGAACGACTCGAAGAATATCTCCGCCGCCTAGAATCATCGCCGTTGTTGTTATGACTATACAGTGGCTAAATAACACGAATGCTCCAAGGCAATTAGCCACAACAATGTATTATTCCGTTCAAAAGCTGTCGAACAACGTATCGCTCAACAACACGACAGCGAAATAAAGCGCTGCTGGAAAGAAAGCCCTTTCAAATGCTACAAATTCATTGCACACGAAATAACGCACCTTTTCTTTGTGCTTCATAGGATTCAACGGAGCTTCTGTTAAGAGAACGGGATGTTCCTCAGGAAAGATCTATAATTGGAAAAAGTGATATGTTTGTTCGTCTATACTCCAGCTTTACTCGATTCCATTGCGCAATATCGCATACATCTTAAAGAAAACCAATCCACAGCTTTTAGCGGAAGTACAGTGTTCCTAATAAAATGTTTAAGAAGAAAAAGGGTATATTTAATAAGGAACTTCTGCAGCACCTAAACTGTACGAAAAGATGTGATAGCAGATATACTTGGATACTTGGGCGGTTCGTACTAGTTGTGCGGACTCCAGCAAATCTCCATTTCCCGCTGTTTTGCTGGTTTAGCTATTGTGATCACTGAAGTCCCGAGATCAGCCGTGCCAACGTCTGCCCCAAGTCGTCACCACCATAAACAGTCGCCGTCCTTGTGCATCAGAGGCAGATGTGCCGCCATGCGACAATTTTGATACCAGGACGGTGAGTATCCTGTTATTGGTTTACTCTTAGCTAGGCTTCCTGGTGGAAGCGCCGGCTCCTGCTCAGCTTGGGAGACCCTGCGGGGGGCGATTAATCCCCCGCTGTAGCTCGCAACCCAACACCCCGGAACACCTGCCAGCTACGATGAGGAGGTAAACCGCTGGGATGATTTAGGACACAAGATTTAAAAACTTGTGCGAACATGCTAGGTACAACAAAGAACCGCATTTTCCTTTTGCAATAAGAAAGAGTAGTATGAACTATACACTCACATTCATCTGCTCTTGGCTATATATGTACTGCCATACTTTCTCCATATCATTCCAGTCGGTGACTATGCCATGTTCCATAGGATACTTGAGAGTAAGAAGACCTCGATACTCTTCTGCTTTCGGACCTAATCATGGAACATAAATGACTACAAGATCTGCATATGACCTAGGACCACAGAAGCAAAAAATAACCTATAAACATGTCGCCTTCAAGAGCACCTGCCATCACACGAGTATGCTTGGGCCGTCCGACGAAATTCGCGAAGCGAACCTTCGGCGATTGACCTCCGGCAAACCCAGCTTTGATTGAGCCAGAACCATTGTCAATGACCACAGGTTGATTCGCAATCACATCATAGTCCATTCTACAACGCAGCGGACGCCCAGCCAAGCGTGTCCTGTCAAGTTAACTGAAACGAACAGCATTGAACAAAACGGGCACAGGATGGCGAAGTCCAACAACAACGACAACAACGGCGATGACATCAGCAACAATTAGAACATCTGTACCATCCTCGTGTCAGCTAAACAAAGGAAGTTCGTAAGGATATATCGATTATTTATGCCGAAGTTTATAGAAAGTCAGTCTTTTGAACAACATTATTGTTCACCACATCACACTCACAGACCACCAACAATGAGATATGGGCAATTCGAAACCGAGGGCTCTGAGGATGGCGAAGTCACCGAAACGTCAGTCATCGATCAACAATATCAAAAACAACGACAACGACAACGAAGATCTGTACCAACCTCGCGTCAGCTTAAGAATTACAATAACAGATAAACAAGTACTGTTACGAGTGGAGTCCAATTCGTAACAGTATGGCTCTGAAGGGGATATAAATAAGTACTTCGATGGTTTACGTAGAGGTGTATAGAAAGCCGGTCATCTGAGGTATTAGGAGTCTAACAAGTAGTTACTAGTAATTAATTTCTAGAAAGGTTATTTGAACTCTTACGAAACGAGCACGACGATGTTTGCGGTGCGTTGACCGTGATTTCCAGAATACACTTTAATCGACGACACAACCTGTTCAGTACTTTGTACTACATAGTTGTTTTGTACTGCAACAAGAGCTCTCGTTAGGTAATCTTGAAATCATTTTTGTTCTGTATGTTCTTGTTTGACAAACACAAGTTGTTACTTTGTTCTTTATTCCGGTAAAGTTGACGTTTCGGCAGTATCGCCTTCTTCAGAACGTGGAAGCATGTCAGTGTATCCTTCCACATTCTGAACGGAGCGGTACTGCCGGTATCGATATTGCTCAACGAGGGTGTCCATAATTATTTGATCAATGCTGAGGTTAATAGGAAGTCGTTCGTGGGAACCATTTTCGCTGATTTTAGCTAGAAGTTAGCGTCCGCTGTGTTGAAGTCTTCTGGTATTGATGTACTGCACGATTTTGCTTCCAGATGAAGCCATCAAATTCACAGCGGACTGATGAAGACGAGGCAGAAATCCCCGAAGATGCACTTCTGTCCTTTCGAGAGGTGCCATCCGGTGACCATTCGCTTACTCCGCAAGAGTTGTGCGTCTTTGACGATATGGCAACAAGCTTAGTTATAGATTCAGTGCTGGACTTTCAAACCCATAAAATGCATCCTAGGTGCGTTTCGGCCCTATTTATTCGCGAAAGTACTACTTCAAAGTTCTTTCCGTAGTACTTTGAAGTACTTCTTCGGAGTTTCTTTTACTTTTTAGGAGAAGATACGTCAGGCAAGATGAACGTCTGGTAGTTGTTGACATTATGCGTCAATTTCGAGAGTCTAACAACTTTGCTCAAGCGCTGTTGCAATTCTTTTCCTTGCGTTCCGTCAAGGATTTCATTCAACGTCTAACCCTCCAGAAACAAGCGGCACTTAGAGACCATGTGAGTTTTCTATTCTGGTATAGATTATTATAGAAAAAGTCTATTTCTAAGAAGGGGATACAGTTGAACGAGGTAGTGATTGCTTTGGTTTGCGTGTATATCGAGAAGGGGAGTATATAGTTCAACCAGGCGATGTATGTCATGGTGGCTGGAAAGTCAGCATTTTGTCATGCTAAAATGATAGAACTAGGATTTTTATTCTACACGTAGAGAATTGTAGATTCCGCGGGCTCTTACTGTATGGTGTGGTTGTGTACACGTTCGGCTCGTTCTCCGCCACAGACATATGAGGTCCGGAGTTTTGCTCATATCTGAGCATCCTTCTGATTGCGTTTCACATAATACTCTGCCATGGAGAAATTACAGTAGGCAGTAAATGAAAGGCTAGCATTAACGGCTTTGTTCCTCAAGGTTCTGAGGAAATGGAAGCAACGGATATTTTGAAGACATTTTAATTAGCAGCTGATATCGACGGCTTCACTTTTCCGTAAGTTGTGGGAATTGTTGAAAAAACAGTAGACCGTAAGTGAAATGTTTCCATGTTGAAATCGTTAAGTCGGTGAAGAAAGACTTTAAGAAATGAGCTCTTGTTTGGTCGTACGAAGAGAATAGTCATCTTTTATCCGTCTCAGGGGCGCGTGTAACGGGGTGGTTTAAGGCGCTTTGGAATACACATGGGATCAATCCCCGCCCCCCAGGCCCACCAAGCCCTCCATCTCTCCGGGATCGTCAGATTAGTACCAGACTTGCTGGGATAGTAGTAGCACTGATTCCATAGATCTGCAGACCATGGCGAGTCATTCTATAGGCCATATTTGGCCAGATATGCATTCAATAGCCTCCAACGATGCTTAATGAAGTCGAATGAATGGCGCATCCCTCCAGGATCGGTCAACGTCGAGAACTTTATACTTTTATCCTTTTTATCCGTCTCAAACTTTCCGTAGATTCAGTTTTGAGGTAGTCCCTCCACGTTATCATGTTTTTATCGGAGAAATAATAGCTGTTCTATTTACTGGCGACATGACTTCCAAATGATTTTTGCAACAGGAACCGTTATTGTGAATTCACACAGAATCGTTATTAGAAAGAACATCGCCCACTTTCCAGTTTAATTGCAGTGTTATGAAGTTTTTTTTTTTTTGCGTTACTTCAGTCGCTAATAATGAGGGACCTAAGTGGATGGTTATTTTAAATAGAAGTAAAATGGTAAAACACTGAATTTAAAAGGGACGTTGGCGGCCCTTATGAGTTTCAGTTCTCGACAACTATTTTTAATAATTTTTCTATAATAATTTTTAATCTAATTAATTTTAATTAATTTTTTAAATTTTTTATTTTTAAATTTTTTTCTATAATTTTTCTGTTATTTATTGAAATCCAGGAAAGTTGCGATGAAGGTAACCTTTAATAATTCTTGTTGAGCAAAGGCGAGATAGTATTTTACTCTTTATTGAGGTAAAACTGACGTTCCGGCGGATTTCGCCTTCCTCAGAGACGGTGAAGGTCAGGTTGACCGCAATCTACCCAGCCAAGCAAAATAGTCAACCCCAATAACTTTTTTTGTCATTGGTGTTTAACGGATCATGTTTATAAAGAATGATATGATTAGGACGACTTTGAAAGTTTTAGAACATCAATGATGTTTAATGGATCATCTTTTTATAGAGCGGTTTATCTTTTCTCATTATTTTACCTGATCCGATCTGACATGCTGATCACAATCAAGGTGAATCACCGTGTTTCGTAAGAAGGATGAACAGTTTTCTTGAAAGGACATCGTGATTGACCAACATTTTTTGTGCATTTCCCACAATTTTTTTCCGTTATAATGCATTTAACACATCACTAAAGTTGCGGACATAGGATTAGTAAGGAGCCACGGTGGGTGCGTGTAGCGCAGTGGTCTGAAGCGCCGTGCAATACGCATGGGCTCGATACCTGGGCTGAAATCTCACCAAGCCTTCCATTCCTTCGGAGTTGGCAAATCGGTACCAAACTTGTCTGGGAGGATAGCGGCACGAGCTCGATATATCGGTAGGCCGCCGCGAGTCATTGTAAAGGCCGGACATGTGTTCAATCACCTGCAAACGATGCTTAATGAAGTTGAATGCATGGCGCATTCCTCAGGGATTGATCAACGCCGGGAGCTTTATCCCTTTTTTATTTCATGTGATGTGACGTTGCTAAAGGGGTGAACGTTCATGATATCATGGGCGCTGAACAAATACCAGGTAGCTTTACTTTCGTAGGATACTGAATTTCATTTTTAATGCAACATTTTTCAGATAGTTCGTTTCTTGAACGTCTTCTGCTCAAAAGCCGGTTTTACTATAGACATATGTAGTCGATATGCAGCTGAACAAAATATGGGAGCTAAATTAGTTGCGACTCGTTTTTGGTAAATCAAATACATTGAAAACTTTTGAGCAATGTTGGTATCAATGCATTTTACGTCGAATATTTTAGGCAACGAGGTGATAAAATAGAACGGCTTTGTGGTGTGATTAGTGAGATGAATGATGAAGAAGAGGAACAAATACTGCGACCAGGATTAAATGACTTCTCAGTCATGTACAGCATGAGGTGCAGCCATATCATTTTCAAATTGTGGGGATTTGGGCTCCCCAGATCAGTCCTATTGACGGGTGATTGCTGATGATATTGGTAGATTGGAAAGTAGCTGAGAGAGGCGAAACGGTGGACTCGCATGGTGTGCTGGTGAACGCGTTCGCACCCGGAGGGGGTAAGAGCGTGTTCGGTTCCCACTGCAGACATCTGCTGTTCGAAATTTTGCAATTGTCTCATCATCATTATGGCTAAATTGTTACGTTTTACACACAGCTGATGTTCAGAAAAAAGTGCGCACAGTTGTGGTTAGGACCAGGAGCGTACATCAACCATGATTGCCGTCCTAGTTGTCGTTTTGTTCCGAATGGGCATACTGCCTACATTCAGGTACTATCTGCCATACTTCCGAGCTTTATCTCTAGATCAGGTTTCTTTGGAAACAGAATTGTGGGAATCTTATAGTGATTTTCAGATTTTACGAGAGCTAAAGCCTGGTGATGAAATCACTTGCTTTTACGGAGAAGATTTCTTCGGAGAAGGGAATGAGAAATGCGAATGTATCACTTGTGAGAGGTGATGTTCGTTAAGAGATGTTAAGAACTACCTGACTAACTCTTATGAAGCTTTGAAGAAATTCTAGCAAGATGTACTTTGAGCACCGCGATCGATGGGTTGCTAGAGAAGGATTATTGATACATATCATCTATATTTTTAGGTCAGTTACCTGAGTCATTTGAGTAAAGAACTGTTGCAGACGTGGTAAAGGAGTGTTTGCCAGCCGAGAAGAAAATAGTGATAACGCTTCGGGAAGCAGTGTAGAAATAGATGAAACGAACACTTCTCCACAGCAAAAATATGGTCTCCGTGAAACGGATTCTCGTCTCTATCGATCAGGGGTCACAATGTGACACAGATTTAGGACCACTTTTAGTCTTCGTGCAGACTATTGACGTATCGTAGAAAGGCGATGGCCTTAAAACTGCTTCACTCATTCTCAGAGATCGTGCTGATACTTTATCTAGTATGGAGAGAAGCTAGTTATTTAGCCTTTTTCACGTGCAATACGATAAGCTTCTCATTTTTATCTACATTTTGTTAGAATAACGTTTCACCTATTCAACGAGCTTATTGAGTCTTCTTTGTCAGCTTATTGATACTACTGTATGTCCTTTTATGTAGTCTGAATATTTACATAGTTCGTTTTGCCCAGAAATGTATTGAAGTTAGTTCAGAGTAATAACCAAGCGTTCTGTCTGTTCTAAGTGTTATTCTTCGTGTCTGCTTATGGAACCAAGCAGTTTCAATTTGCTGGTGTAGCATCGCATCGATCCTAGGTGTACGTCTTTTCGAATTTGTTTAGCCCATTTATTTTCCGTGATCTTTCTTGCCCTATCTTGCAGGTGTTGGGCGTTGTATAGACGAGCAGTCCTACATTTCTTTTTTGTTTCTTTCACGTTGTGTCTAGACTCATTCATTCTGGTTATGTGATGTATCCTTGTTCATTGTGTCGGCGTGTCTTGATCAATTTTGAGCCCATGTTATACAAATGTTTTTTCTTTGCTGAGTAAATAGGCTAGTTTTTCCCTACGGGCTGTTAGTGGTTCTTTTGTGCAGTGATGCCTATTTTACATTTGTTTAGGTAAGCTGCAATATATAACATTGAGTTCTTCAATATCTGTCCTACCTTGCTCATCATTAATGAATAGCTTCAGTGCTATAAAAGGATGAAGCTCTCGGCGTTGATCAATCCCTGAGCGATACGCCATGCATTCGACTTCATAAGCATCCTTGGAGATGAATGAAGGCCTCTCTGTCCTTTAAAATTACTTGCGGTGGCCTACCGATGTATCAAGGCAGTGCTGATATCCTCTCAGACAAGTCTGGTGCCAATTTGTCAACCCCGTAGAGGTAGAGGCTTCGGTGGGCTTGGAGCACCGGGGTCGATCTCATATGTATTGTAGGGTGCCAGACGCGTCCCTTATTTTCAGTGGTAGTGGTCATACTTCGGAAGGTACACTATAGTAAAGAAGTTATCGCGCTTTTTTATCATGAGTAATTACTACATTCGGTTTTTTTAAATCTTGGAGAACTCGTATATGCAAGCCTAAATATTTTTTGTGTAGCACAGTGATAGTGATACCATTCATCACAAGTGCGGTGCTGGTTCGACTCCTCTGGTCTGTTGGTGATCACACGCTCTGGGTCCGGGAAATTGCTACCAGGCTTGCGTGGGATCAAATCATTTCCCTTCATCCTATATGGGAGCCCGCAGCACGCCCAGTCCAGGATTCCGAGGAGGGAGTAAACCAGCATTCAACGCCATTCATGGTGAAGATGAGGATTTCCGCGCAGCCATCAAACCTACGTGTCGAAAAGAAGCTCATAATGTTTTAGAGACGATAACATCAATTAAGGAAAGATCGTTAATCTGCCGTCGCATTGTGCTTTCAGGAGTTGCTGCAAGTAGTCCTTACCAGATGACGCAGTTTGCGAATTCTGACCATGTGATACTGTTGTTGTAGAATGACGAAGTTCCTATGCTGATGTTGTTATATGGCCCATGAAGGATTGTTATTTACAGATGAATAGCGCGTTAGTTATCCAGAGCTTCCATGATAGCTTACACCGAGTCATTAGACTAGTACGAAAGTACTCGTGGTTTCGAACCGTATATTCTAGATTGCTAAGTCTAGCCAAAACATCACTTTCAAAATACGGATTACTAGTATGTAGGTTTTCCTAATGTATACCAACAGACAACTGGCTTTATGCTGGTAGAAAGAAATTCTGGAAATGACCAATTCATTGGAGGTGTTTCTAGCAGCAGCATGGTTTTCTGGCCTAGTATTTGTCGAAATGTTTAGGAAAAGTGGTATTTATTTAGTGAGTATGATGGTTAAGGCAGACTTTCGTACATTAACTCGTTTAAGGGGAACGACTCTAGGGCAGTGTTCGGAGACGCCCTGCAATACACATGGGAACGATCACACCATCCAGGGTCACAAAGCTCTTCATCCCTTCGGGTTCGGCAAATTGGTATCAGACTTGTCTGGGAGGATAGTAGTACTGGCTCGATACATCGGTAGGCCACCGCGGGTCATTGTGAAGGCCGGATATGCATTCAATCACCTCCAAACGATGCTCAATGAAGTTGAATGAATGGCGCGTCCCTCAGGGATTGATCAATGCAAAGAGCTTTCGAGCTTTAACTCGCTTAACTTCTGCAAGGTTAATTGTGTGACGTGTTGTTGGTTGTTGTCGCATAACAGAATTGTCTGCTGTATAAAGGACAAAGGATAAAGTTCTCTGCGTTGATCATTCCCTAAGGGCTGCGCCAGGCATTCGACTTCATTAAACATCCTTTGCAGGTGACTGAATGCATATCTGGCCTTTGCATGACCCGCGGTGGTCTACCGATGCATCGAGCCGGTGCTGCTATCCTGCTCGATAAGTCTGGTACCAATTTGTCGACCCCGGAGGGATGGAAGGCTTGGTGGACCATGGGAGCGGGGTTATTCCATTCATTCCATTTATTCCATCTATTCCATGTGTATTGCAGGGTGCCTCCGTCTCCTACGCCACACGCTCTGTTTTTGTATGACGTATATCGATGGTAAATGTTGCAGTTGCTAGTGAATTTTTACGACTTCCTGCCAATATTTATCTGTTTTGATGGTTTTCTGAGAGTTCAAAAGGTTGTAAGAATAGTTCTATATGTAGATCGCGAAATAGTCATTACATCCTTGTTTTTGTTCAAATCCAGCCTCGAAAGATGTGCAAGAGCTTCATCTCACTCACGCAAACATTGCATTGAGTGCGATCAGTTGTATGGGATTCATTTTCCATCGCACTTCACAATGCGACCAGCAAATCGTTATTATTGAACAAAAGAATCCCAACTGCTGGATATGGTCCATTATACTGAATTGTTTAAGAATCACTACTTGTATGACTTTCTCCCTCCACTTCTCTGTTAATGGCGTCGAAGATGACTCGAGTAAAAAACTCATAGACTACCGACAGTGGTTGGATCGTGCTACAGTTGCTGATGTCGTGCAGATCCACCTTTTTGTGCAGCAACTGAATATTGTTGGTTTCTATTGATTGGAACTGTGTATTTGTACGGGTGACCTGTGAAGGACTGGTCCAGATGAGAACTGGAAAAAAGTTCTTAAAAGTCATTGGATCATGTATTACACGGTTCTTGAGGTTTTGCAATATTCGAGTTTAATCCTGTCCAGCCCAATTGTTGTACGGTTCTTCACCAATGAAATAGCACATCAGACTTTGGAAGGAAGAATCGGTGATACGATACATCCATCCTGCTTAATCTTATGAATGAATAATGATGCAGGAAATCAAACAAACCAGACCAATAGTCGTTAGTGATTTTCTTTATTACCCTCTTTGGGAAGCCGCTGCTATTCCTTGCAAGGATCGTAGGGCGATCATCTTCTAATGCAAAGCTTCAGTTGGCGTTGCGAACCTTCTTGTTAGCTTATGCGGATTGAGCGATTACTGTTGCTCTTCCTTTCTGAAGATCTTCTTTTATCATCTTTCTGCAGAGCTTTGCAAGTTCCGACTTGAGTTCGCGATTGCCTGTGGCTCGTAAATTCCACATTGACGAATTAGCTCGATGTTCCTGAAGTGAGGCATCTCATGGTGTCTTTCGAACTCTTGGCTTTAGTAGGTGAAAATATCAAATATGCCAGTCGTATTCTGCGGTGATAATGTAGCTCATGGTGTTTTCCCAAAAGCCGACTGCTCCAAGAGGAAATCCTGGTGGTATGTGCAGGAAGAACAGGAAAGGACTCCTCAAAAGTTATCCATCGGAAATTAGGATGGAATAATTGAAAGCTTAATGGAATTGGAGAGTTACAGTGGTGCTGAAGAAGTAAAGACGAGAGTTACACTATTGTGACCAATACAACACTTGACGCGAGTCCTTCCGACAACTTAAAACTGCATATTTTCAAAAGCTGCAACCAAGAAAAAATCTCTGTGAACACAAGCGACTAGATGAAGTCCTATTATCCTCTCCGCATATGAGCAGAACTAGAATCTGGTGCGTTGACTTCTTCTCTATGAATTAGATCCTTACGCCTGTTCTTCACATTTGAGGCATATTAATAGCTGAATTGAAACTCCAGTGTTATGTATGAGTGGTTAAAGAAGATGCATCTTTGGATAGATATGTCTTGGAAGAAGGTACGGAAAAGTGGAAGCGTTGCTTTTGCTGCTACAAACCATTATTAGGAATTCAATACTTAAAACCTGGAATTCATTCCAACCAGGTAAATGTAGACAACGCGACAAAAATATTTCTCTAAGTTACTCCAATAATCCACGGATTTCCCTCATACGAGGGATCTCGAGCCGGTTAGTCGCGAGGCTACCTGGCGCGTCCCCAAGTGGCGGACAGGAGGTTAACCGCAGACCAAAAGCGACCTTTGATTCCCTGAGACGCAGGTGGATCCAGAGGATGGACGTCCTGTTTCCGCTGTGCTGATTTGCAACATACTTTCTGTATTTGCTAGGCGTATTCATGCATGCGTGTGTGGATGCGTTCCTGCTCATGCGGATTGTATTCTGCGAGTCAATTCGGCCAAAAGCCTGATATCGAGTGACTGGGAAGTATATGGGAGGAGGTTAGGAGTCGCCTCCAACAAATAAGCTTCATGTCCACTCTGGGAGAGCCTGGCAAGCTACCTGTGAGTATACCCAGCCCCCACGTTCAGAGCCTAGCAAGCTATACGTGGGTATCAAAAATGCTAAACACAGTAAAAAAAGGGCCTCATTCCCCTGACCTCGAAAGAGCC